TTCCATCTGAAATAACATGTAAAAAATTAAATTATATGCATGTGTGTGTCTAAGTGTGGACCTATGCATGTGAGTGCAGTGTCTGTGGCAGCCAGGGAGGGCTTGATAATCTCTAGAATTGAAACTAGGTGGTTGTAAGCTGCCTGATGTGGGTTCTGGAAACCAAACAGATCTTCTGCAAGAGCAGTTCATACTCTTATTCACACACACACACACACACACACACACACACACACACACACACACTTGAAAATTAAATGGACTTCCCATTTAGAGAAGAGTGCTCTGCAGTCTTTCGTTCTCTGGAGATTGTGTCTGGGTCTCTGTGTTAATTTCTGGTGGTTTGCCATCTACCCTAAGAAGGAGTTTCTCTGATGAGGGCTAAATGGTGCAGTAACTTACAGATACAGAGTTAAGTCAGTAGGAGTAGGTTTATTATGTTCGTTAGCAGAATATAGTAGCGAGTTTCCCCTAGGGCTTGTATGGCCACGGGTTCTTTGTCTCAGTTCTTTTGGAGTGGGCCTTAGATCCAATCAGAAAGTCGTTGGTTACTCTCATAACATTCACACCACTGTTGTTCTAGCGGCATGTCTCGTTAGGTTGATCGTTATTGCAGCTCACGGCTGGGTCAGACTAATGGCTACTCTTCTCCTCCAGGAGAGTGCACAGCACCTTATATCACCACGAAAGCTAGCCAGCAGGGATGAAGCTTCCAGGTGAGTACCAGCTGGAATTCCGTCTTCTGTAACTTCAGCAGTAGGGTCTTTCCATCAAGTTCTGGAGAGTAACAGAGAACAGAGGCAGTAGCCTATAATGTTTTGGGTCTATGGCACCCCAATGACCAAAAAACTCCAAAGGAGGCAACCCATTCCTGGCACCTTTTATTTGATAGCTTATGGTGTGTAGGATGGGTAGTGTTCCCCTACGTATCAGATAATTCTATTCTCTATTTATAGGAAGCTTCTGTGGTAGCAGGTTTCCATATGGCTTTCTCAAGGCTCAGAGGTCATCATGGCAGAGGGGCAAAAGAATCGTAAGAGCCAGAGGTGGTAGATGGTTGTAACATCCCCTGACCACACAGCAGGGCAGTTGCACTTACGAATTGCAGCCGTTGTTACAGCACGTGTGATATCACTGCAAGCTCAAGCCCAACAAAATTCAAGCATGGAGGGGGAGGTCATCAGGAAGCCCATCCCCAGCTGAGGAGCCATGGCAACTGATAACTTTTAGGAGAGGGAGAGTATGTTTCTATAAGGATGTGACCCCTCCCTGGTAGGTCAACCACACTCAGATAAGTGACTCTACACCCTGCAGTATATGGATGGCACAAAATTGGAATGTAGGGGTAATAAACAAAGGAATATGGGGGCTGGGTGGGGAGTTAGGGGTGGGTTTAGAAGGGATGGGGGAGGAGTGGAGGGTGACTTATTGAAATCTATTGTATGAAGTTCTCAAAGGATTAATTTTAAGAATGAAAAGGAATGAAATCTGAAAACAATAAGAAGGTTTATGTGTTGTCCTTCTCAGCCATTCATTCATTCACCCATTCCACCACTATTTATTAGGCTTCTGCCATGAACCTGGCATGTTGTTAGATGTTGTGACTGGTGAATCACAGAGCTTTCCAGAAACTCAAGGATGTGATGGTGCTTTACCGATCTATAAGACTGTAATTTGGGAATACAGACTCTCTCCAGGGGAAGGAAGAATGATGAAAATATTTTAAGTGAGGACAGGACACAAGCAGATTCCCACACTAGAATCCCACCTTACCTGGAGTGTGTGGAACGGACGGCCATGGGTGAATTTCTTGGCAAGAGACTACCCTGCTCTTTGCAGGGTCTTCCCTGTTCTCCTGCATTTGGTGTTTGCTTCATTCCACAAAAGTGAACCCACAGCCAAGCAAGCACAAGCTGATTACATTTAGAGATCTCACCTGATGCTGTAGTAGACATTCTAAGTGTGTAGATCGGCTCACATGTGGTAGACTTTCCCCCTTCTCCTTCTGGGTTTTTGTTATTCCCTTCCTGACTGTGTGCTGTTTGCTTTACATTACAAATGATGCTCCCTTCTTCTGTAACCATCAATTTCAAACCGAATGTGTGAACAGTTACGGTTTCCTAGGTAGGTAACCAAGACATTAAAAGCTGGGGAAATTCTTGAGGTGCTCTGTTTTTCCTCATTGTTTCCTTTATAGTGTATTGTTCATCTCCCAGGGACAATGAAAAAGCCTAGAAGCAAAATATTGTTGCTGAGTGAATGCTTGTTAATGAGTAGATGAATGGATCACACATGGAAAACTGCCCACAGCTGTTAGAATTTGTAACCAACTCCTATTGTTGCATTTTGCAACATGTTCCCTCGCCAGAGTAAATCGATGTGATTTACAGAGTAAATGTAGTATATTTAGGTTTCAAAATGATCAGTGGAAATAAATTTATTTATATTCTGTTCTAAAATTGATGATATATGGGTTCTCATTATAGGGTAGTCATGTTGTGTGTGTATGTAAGTGTATAAATATAGTTTCTCATTGAAGACACAAACTTAAAAATTAAATTTTTAATAAAGCTTACAAAAGAACCTTAGTAATGTAGTTATGACACAAAACAATCTTTCAGAAAGCTATTTGAGATGAATTTAACATAAAGTTCATGAGAGAAAAGCATTCACCTCCATTCCTTCTAGATAAATATAAGAAAAGTAACTAATCCTTTACATTAAAGGAGCATGTATTGCTTACTAGAGATCAGGGTTAGTTGCTAGTACTTGGAGTCACTAGTTCATTTCTTTCTTTCTTTCTTTCTTTCTTTCTTTCTTTCTTTCTTTCTTTCTTTCTTTCTTTCCTTGTCTGTCTGTCTCCCTCCCTCCCTCCCTCCCTCCCTCCCTCCCTTCTCTTTCCTTTTTAGACAAGGTCTCACTCATCTCAGACTGTCCTTGAACTTGCTATGTAGCTAAGGATGGTCTTGAATTTCTCATCCTCTTTCCTCTACCTCCAAAGTGCTAGGACCACAGACTTATGCCTCCATCTCCTAAGCGCTAGGACCACAGGCACGTGCCTCCATCTCCTAAGCACTAGGACCAAAGGCATATGCCTCCATCTCCTAAGTGCTAGGACCACAGGCATGTGTCTTTATCTTCTAAGTGCTAGGACCACAGGTATGTGCCTCCATCTCCTAAGCACTAGGACCACAGGCACATGTCTCCATCTCCTAAGTGCTAGGCAGGCATGTGCCTCCATCTCCTAAGTGCTAGGCAGGCATGTGCCTCCATCTCCTAAGCACTAGGACCAAAGGCATATACTTCCATCTCCTAAGTGCTAGGACCACAGGCATGTGCCTCCATCTCCTAAGCACTAGGACCACAGGCATGTGCCTCCATCTCCTAAGCACTAGGACCACAGGCTTGTGCCTCTATCTCCTAAGTTCTAGGACCACAGGCATGTGCCTCCATCTCCTAAGTGCTAGGACCACAGGCATGTGCCTCCACCCCCTAAGCACTAGGACCACAGGCTTGTGTCTTTATCTCCTAAGTGCTAGGACCACAGGCATGTGCCACCAGCCTGGCTAATGCAGCTCTTGGGATTGCACCTAGGACTCCGTGTGTGCTAGGTAAGCACACTACCAACTAAGCAATATTCTTTTTTTTTTTTGTGATATATATTTTTTATTTTACAATACCATTCAGTTCTACATATCAGCCATGGGTTCCCCTATTCTCCCCCCTCCCACGCCCTCCCCTTACCCCCAGCCCACCCTCCATTCCCATCTCCTCCAGGACAAGTCCTCCCCCGAGGACTGTGATCGACTTGGTAGACTCAGTCCAGGGAGGTCCAGTCCCTTCCTCCCAGACTGAGCCAAGTGTCCCTGCATAAGTTCCTGGTTTCAAACAGGCAACTCATGGAATGAGCACAGGACTTGGTCCCACTGCCTAAATGCCTCCCAAACTGATCAAGCCAATCAACTGTCTCACCTATTCAGAGGGCCTGATCCAGCTGGGAGCCCCTCAGTCTTTGGCTCATAGTTCATGTGTTTCCATTCATTTGGCTATTTTTTTTTCAATAATTGAGTAAAACTGAAATTTATTATATGCCACAGTCGTCCTACGGACCTCCATGCTATATATATATAGCCTCTATGGTTCTATGGGTTGTGGTCTGATTGTTCATTTTATATCTAGAATCCACCAATGAGTGAGTACATACCATAACTGTCTTTCTGGGTTTGGGTTACCTCACTCAGGATGATATTTTCTAGTTCCATCCATTTGCCTGCAAATTTCATGCTTTCATTGTTTTTCTCTGCTGAGTAGTACTCCATTGTGTATATGTACCACATTTTTTTCATCCATTCTAAGCAATATTCTTAGCACTTCATTTAATTTTCATTACACTTTAATAAAGCGAGTATTGTTTCTACCCTGCAGTTTGTAACTGAGGAAATAGGCAAGAAAGGGCTAAATAATCTGTTTATTGCTACAGAACTGATAAATGGCCTCAACTGGGTTTGAACCAAGCCCTTTGGCTCAGAATCCTTACTCTTGCCCAGTATACCCCACTGCTTTTCTAGAAGCCAGAAGCTGTCTCCAAAACACCGATCCTACAATGGAAGACTAGGCCCAGATGACAGGCTTTGAGAATAACCTAATTGCCTGGTATTTGTCCAAAGAGCACAAGACAAACCTAAGATGACAAGCATTTTGACTGCGCAGTTAAAACAATGAAAACAAGAGGGGCCGGGAAGCGAGGCAGGTTTGGGAAGGAATGTTGGGAGCTGTGTATGTGCTGTCTTACTTGGAGATTATCGTTACAGAGAGATGCTGAGCCACCACTGGACACAGGAGACTACAGATCAGGGGACAGATTGGGAGACAGATTTAGAACTGCTAGCATATGGACACCGCTTGAGTTGTAGGCTTGGCACAGTGCTCCGGGGGAGTGACAGTAGACAGAGGGAGGAAGACGCCTGAGGACTGAGTCCTGGGGGGGGGGGGGGCGCTCCAACATGTGCACGTCAGCTTGAAGAAAGGGATCCAAGAAAGGAGACAGCAACACTATGAGGAGAGGACGCCGGGAAAGTGGGGGTTAGAGAGAGGTAAGGGAGGAAAGATAACCAGGAGTGCATCGTCATCATCATCATTGTCACCATCATCATCGTCATCATCGGCGAAGCCAAACCACAGGGCAGGAGGAATGAGTGTGGCGAATCCCTATTCTGCACCACGGGGGTCATTGGTGACCTGACCAGAACTGCACAGCTTTGTAGAATGGAGGTAAAAGCCTTACTGTAGGGGATGAGGAGAAAAGGGAACGGGAGAGATGTCAGAGTGTGAGTGGAGACAGTGTTGCAAAGTGGAAGAAAAAAATAACATGGTGAACTTCCGGGAAGAAGAGAGTCCCTGGAGCAGCCTATCTGAGATGCTGAGGGGAGCCGGCTGCTGGAGAACGGAGGAAAAACCTGCTTTGCCTAGCCGGTCTGCCGCAGTCAGCCTGCGGTAGTGCATATGAGTGGAAGATGGTCAGTGGGTGGTGTTGTGCTTTAGATATGGTCTAAAATGTCAAAGATGTCCCCTCAGGGTTCAAAATCTGGAAACTTCGTCCCCTATGAAGTCGTATAAAAGTGGTTAAAGTGGAAGAGGTGGAAGATGGTTAGGTCATGGGAGTACCACCCTTGGAAGGGGTTGGCAGCAAGCTCAGGGAGCAGGTCGGGATTCGTGCAATTGGATTGTATCCCCAGGGGGTGTGCTGTTATAAGCTGGGGCCAACCCATGTGCTTGATCCCCTCTGCACAAGGCCAGTTCCCTGGGTGCTTCTCTGCCATACTGTGATGCAGCCCGCAGGCCAACACCAAGTTGTTTAGATCCTCCAGACACAACGTTCGTGGCCCAAATAAACTCCCTGGGAAGTCACCCAGTCTCGAGTATTCTGTTACAGCAACACAAAATGGACTAAGATAGGAGTCTTAGAAACTCTTGCTTCATTTTTTTCAGTGAATAAAAGCGTCATCAGATGATACTAATCCTTCAGCAACAATGGTGGCAGATGTGAGTACCAACAGGCTCCGGCAGCCCTGCCCCTACAGTCTAATGGATGCAGCCCTCATGGTGTCTCTGGTCTCTCTGTTGGACTGGTCCTTCTCACTGCCTGCAGCTTTACTCATCAGATTCTGTTTTCCATGTTCCTGGCATCTCTTTGTTTCTCAGGTCTCCAAGGCGTTTTTCAGGGCTTCATGCATCACTGCCTTAGGGGGATGTTTATGGAATCTGACTCTGCTCCACGTTATTTGGCCTCTCGGGCTTTCCTTAGAAAGCTGATGTGGATGATGTCATGGGCTGCAGCTGGGTTGGCAGGTAGGTGGTCCAACATCTCATCTCTAACAGCTTCTGAGTGCCTGGGTGGCTGAACCTGGGAGAACACTTTTCCAGATGACTCCGTGTGAGCAGGGCTCCCTCCTTCCCACAGGTGCTAATACTCAAAGGAAAGTCTTTTGATTGAGTTTACAATACTTCCTTCAGCACTTCTCAATATAGTGCCACCAGATGGACCAAGGCCTCAACATATGAGCCGTAGAAGACTTTCCACATGCATAATAGCGATGGATGCGCACAGTACATCTCCTGGAGATGCCTGCAGACTGTGTGTAGAGGAAGCAGTGTCTACAGGAGAGAGAGGATGAGATGTTTAAAAGAAGACACCACACAGGGCTAGTACAAAATTCTAGGGCTATGTCGCCAAACCCTGTGGCCAGCATGGGTGCACACTTACCCATCCGAAGACGGCTTAGTTCAGCTAGATGCCGCTTTGTCAGGAGCAAGTGGGAACTCGAGTTTCAGAGAGCTCTTTAGCTGCTGCCTTGTGTAACATGATGTGCAGACAGCCAGCTGCCCAGGAAGATGGGCTCAGTGGGGACCAGCATTGGCTTGGCGGTTAGATGGAAGTTCGGCATTAAATTTCTTGCTAAGGAGTTGTGTACAGCTAGGTGGCAGAGATTTTTATTTTTCATAGAGACTTATTTTTCTTGTTATTTAGAATAGTCCTTTGTGGGATGGAGAGTTGGCTCAGTGGTTAAGAGCCTTTGTTCTTGCAGAGAACCCAGGTTTGATTCCAGCACCCACATGGTGGCTTACAACTATCCATAACTCTAGTTCCAAGGGATCTGATGCCATCCTGTGGCTTCTACAGGCACCAAACATGGATGTGGTGCATAGACACGCATGCATGCAGAACAGTCATATGCATAAAGTAAAACAAAATAAATAAATCTACAAAAGTAGTCATTTGGATGATACAAAGCTTAACTTGGAGGACAAGCAGTGTAAAAGCAAGCATGCATTATCAGACTATGGAGGAACGAAAAAAGACAGAAACTCATGACTGATTATCTGTGGTCAAGCATTACCCAGAGTATTTTTCTCATTTGAATACATTAATTCATTTTCTTCCTTCGCTCAGCTATTCCATATGGAATGTCTGTATATACTGAACACTTGTTAAAAGGTAAGAACTCAGCAAAAAGCTAGAGACTGTGTATCACAGGAGATTAAATGAATAAAACCAGCTCAGCACAAGGGGCATCAAGATCATGATGGGGGAACGTACAGAGACAACCAAACCAAACTAGTGGGAATTCATGAACTGTGGACCAAGAGCTGTGGATCCTCCATGGGACTGGACTAGGCCCTCTGCATAGGTGAGACAGTTGTGTAGCTTGATCTACTGAAGGGGCCCTTGGCAGTGGGATCAGGATCCGTCCCTGGTGCATGTGTGGGCTTTTTGGAGCCCAGTGCCTATGGTGGGACACCTTACACAACCTTGGTGTAGGGGGAGGGGCTTGGACCTGCCTCAATTGAATGTACCAGGCTCTGCTGACTCCTCATGGGAGGCCTTGCCTTGGAGGAGGTAGGAATGGGAGGTCAGTTGAGGAGGAAGCTGGGGGGCAGGAGGAGGGAAGAGAGGGGTATCTGTGGTTGGTATGTAAAATGAATAGAAAATTTCTTAATAATAATAAAAAAGAAAAAAACAGCTCAGCAAACAAAAACAATAACAGTGTAAAGCATATTAATAAGTAACAGTTACCAAATGTTTCTTACATACTGGGTCCTGCCCAAGCCCTTTCCCATCAGCTCACTTAATTGCTTTTGCAGTTTATCAATATTATATGAATCATCTCAACAGATATTTACTTTCTAGAATATTTTCTTTATAGGCTGTTGGTCAGCCGGGCTTAGCTCCAGGCTTTTGTTGGGTTCAAATCTGCTCCACATGTCTCTACTTTCTATTTGTTTCAGAAGCTTCCTCAGGACATACTGTCATGGTAGATCAAGCTACTGGACATTTACAGTTCTAGCCCAAACATCAGATCCACCGTTCCTGCACTGGTCAGAGGATGAATGACACACGGCTGTCAGTAAGATGGCGGAACACACTGTTCCTTTTTCAGTGGGAGGTGCTGCAAGCTCATGGATCCATGGAACAAGTCAAAAACTGAGTACAGTGACTCAAAGAGACAGAGAGTTGCTCTTCTGTCATCATTTACAAATGGAGAGATTTAATGAAGAGAGAAGGGGATTGGTACAGCTAGAACCTAAACCTGGAAGCCGGAGACACCTGACTGTCAAACCGTTTTTGCACAGGATGCTTTGGGGGCAGGTAGGGACGTGGGTTAAGAAGGCCTGTATAGGGAAGGTCGTGTTTGGGGTTAAGCCTGAGCACTGTTGGGTCCGATTTGAAGCCTAACTGTGGAAAACAACTGAGGTCATTATCACTTGTGAGAACAGTTTCATTGGGGGAGGTGAGAACAGAGGCAGATGGTGGTAGATTAAGGGTGAGTGGGAAGTGAAGGAATGGAGCCAGCTTCCAGAGCCTGGCTAAGATGAGCAGGGAAATCTGGCAATAGGATTGAAATAGGGAGGAATGTCACCTTTTTTGTTTTTCTTAAAAGTCATGAGTACTTGATATATTTTCTCATCTACTAGCTTGGGTCTAGCTTGTTGTTTGCTGAGACTTTGAGGTGGGTCTTTAGGTCAGGAGCATTATTCTCCCTGGGTTTTAGGTGTGGACTCTCATGGTTACATTTCCCTCTGAGAACAGCCTTGGCTGTGATTGATAGCTTGTTTCTTAGTTTTCACTGGCTTCTAGGAACTTTCTAATTTTCTCCCGGAGTTGGGTGGTGTCATCTCTTGCTATTGACTTCTAATTCTATTCCATTATTATCTGAAAGGGTATAAGAAGCAGTTTGATTTTTTTTTTTTTTGTATTTGTTGGACCTTCCTTCCATGGCCTACAATGAGATCTCTTTCAGAGAAAACTCTATTGGCTGCTAAGGATGTATATTCTGTTGCTGTTGGATGGAATATTCTGTGGATATCTATTTGTGTTGGTTTGAGGTAGGGTCTCATGCAGCCTAGAGTGGCCTCAAACATGTTGTATAGCCAGAGATGACCTTGAACTCCTCCTGTGCCTGCTCTCTTGGTGCTGGGCTTATATAAAACTTAAATAAATGTGCATCACTATGCAACTTGTAGATGTCTATCAAGTCCATTTGATGTGTGGTACAGTTTAACTCTGAGGTTCCTTTGTTGGTATTTTTGTCTGTATTGTCTCTTTATTCAGGATAGTAGAGTATGGGAAAACCTGCTGTCATTGTACCTGGACCAATCTTCCCTTTACATCCAGCCAGTAGTGTGGTGGTAATCTAATTGTACTGAAATGTGATTTTGATTGTATGTTAATAAATAAAGTTGCCCGGGGGTCAGAGCTATTAGAGCCATAGCAAGAGTGTGGCGGTGGTGGCACACACCTTTAATCCCATAGATATCTGTGTGTTCAGGGATATAGCCAGCATTGGAGACATATGCCTTTAAGACCTAGGGGGCTGTACATTCAGACAGTGACGAGGCAGTCACGTGTTTGGGTTTACAACCAATGAGAAGGCAGAACAAAATACTTTAAATAGATGAACAGACAGGAAATAGAACCCTCATTCGGGAAGCTGGGACACCGCAGGCAGAAGGGTGAGATTTTAGCTCTGAGCTCTGACCTCTCGGCTTGCTCTTTTGCATTGTTTCTGTGTTTCTTATTTAATAAGACGGTTGGTTACATCTATACAGTAGTGTTTGTTTTATGAAACTGGGTACACCAATATTTGTTGTATAAATATTTGCTGTCTTATCTTTGTGGTGCACTGATCTCTTGATTGAGATGGAATGTTTTCTGTATCTCTTCCTACTAATTTTTTGCCTAGTTTTCCAGATGTAAGAGTGACCATGACTACTTGTTTTCTGATTCACTTGACTGCTGTACAGTTTTCCATTCATAATCTCTGTGAGTGGTCTGCCCGTGAGATGTGTCTCTGCTGGCACATCCATGTTTCCTTATTTATTTTTGACAATGAATTAATATTTTGTGTACACCACAAACTTTGCTCAGATGGAGTAACAACACGTTTTTTACTTTATTATTATTATTGGTTTTTGGTATTTTGAGACAGGATTTCTCTGTGTAGCCTTGGCTGCCCTGAAACTAGCTCTGTAGATCAGGCTGGTTTTGAACTTGTAGAGATCCGTCTGCCTCTGACTCCTGAGTTCTGGGATTAAAGGTATGGTTCGCCACACTTGGCTACTTTCTTATTTTTTAAGTTTTATATGCATTGCCTATAATTGCAGTTTGAATAAAATCCTCCTATTTGAACACTGTTTCTGGAAATACAGTTCCATTTTTCAAGTGTTCAATTTTTTTGTTACTAAATTCTTGTGATAATTACTATGTAGAACGCTTCAATCCAACCAATACATATCCATGCTCTTTGCCTTGTGGTCAGAAGTTATAGATCAGGCAGGTGTCATCAACAGATGGATGAAGACAATGTGCTACCTACAAGGGACTTCTACTCAGCTCTTAGGAAGAAAAAAAATGTTATTTGTACAAAAATGAGTGGAACTGTATTTCATCATGTGGAGTTCAATAAGCCATGTCCAGAAAGACAAATGTCCCCTTTTCTCTCATATGGAGACTACAGACTAGAAGGGAAACAAGACTTGAAAATGAAGAATTATTTGGGAGGGGGAGTGGACCGGAAGAGAGTGAAGGAGGACACAAAAGTCAAAGTATACCTGTGTCGTGGTGGTGCACGCCTTTAATCCCAGCACTCGGGAGGCAGAGGCAGTCGGATCTCTGTGAGTTCAAGGCCAGCCTGGTCTACAGAGTGAGTTCCAGGATAGGCAGGGCCACTACACAAAGAAACCCTATCTCAGAAAAAAAAAAAAAAATCAAAGCACACGATAGACTTACATGAGACTTACTTACTTAATTAAACCCACCATTTTTTTAAAATAACAAGTGTATGCTAAAGAAGGAAAGGAAATGAACAAAACACAAAAGCAAACCCCAGAGTCCCCAGTGTTCAGTGGAGAGATGCTCTTCTGCTTGGTTGAGGTCTCCATCCGCTCCCTCAGATCCTCGTCTCTTGGTACAAATGGACTAAACTAGATAGTGAGGGGTGATAAAGAGTGAAGAGTTGGATAGGACACCGAAGGAGGGAGAAGTGATCATTGTAAAGTGTGTGACATTGAATACACATGGTCTGGCTTCACCTCTGTCAATGAGTTGATTAATTTATTTAAATGATATTTAGAGAATGAGGTGAGCTTTATCATGAAGAAGCTTGAAAGACTTCTTGGCGGTTACTTACAAACTTAAACGGGCTCTTCCCTGGCGTGTACCACCACAGCCACCTGGCTTATCTGCTTGTATTCTGCTGGTGAAAAAGAGTCACAAATCACACCTTCCTCCAGTGCAGGACAAGTACTGACCCCGGAGATATCCATCTGCAGCAGTGATGGCAGCCCCGTGGAAAAAGATCAGTTGTCATTTGTGCTGGCAGCTGAAAAGGCTGTGGTCTGCCCTGTGGGAAGCTCGCTCTGGCCCTCCTGTGTTCTTTTCCTTTCCTCATCAGGCTCAACCTCAGAAGCTGAGCTCCGCACACAGCACCCACAGGCTTCCCAAGGGTCCTCGGTGCTTTGGCTGCGTCTGGCCAATGTGAAGTTGTGATTAGATTGAAGCAAGGGAGGAAATGTGTTCAGGTGTTCCTTTGCCATACACCGTGCCCCGTTTGCCTCTGCTAGAGGTCACGTTCCCTCTGGCAGAAGAGACCTCCTTGGTCTTCAGACCATGCTGGGCAGGGAGGGTTTCTCACTGCTTGTGTTTCTCAGGCCCTTCAATAGCCTGCTTGCTATAGGTGGAAGTTTCTCTCCTGCTTGCCTATTCCCAAATAGTCAGCAGCCACTTTACAAATAATTGACTTGGAGGCTTAATATTACTTATAAATGCTCAGCGGTAGCTTAGGCTTATTATTGACTAGCTCTTACCCTTAAATTAACCCATAATTCGTATCCATGTTTAGCCACATGGCTTGCTATCTTTTCTCAGTGTGGCATTCTCATCTTGCTTTCTCTGCTTCTGGCTGGTGACTCCTAACTCCATCCTTCCTCTGCCCCGAATTCTCCTACTCTGGTCGCCCTGGCTATACTTCCTGTCTGGCTACTGGCAAATCAGTATTTTATTAAACCAATTCTAGTGACAAACCTTTACAGTGCACAAGAGTATTATCCCACAGCAACCTGCACTGGCTTTCCCTAGCTTGCTCACTAACCTCAGATGGAACAGTCACGAATGTCTCCTTACTCTTTGTAAGGCGCTGTTTCCTGTTTCCTGCTGGAATCTGCGTTAATGTGACACTCAGTAAAAATGTAGTGTCCTTTGGATACTCGATCCTGGCGGGTAGCAAATAGACAGAAATAGTTACACAGATGCCAAGAGTGGACACATGGCACCTCTGTAGATACAGCCATGGGGAATGAAGGACCAGGAGGATTATAGTTAAGGGGCAGAGCAGGGAGCCGGGCAGGTGGCTCAGTGGATAAGGTGCTGGTTACACAAGCATGGGGACTGGAGTTCAGACCCCCAGAACCCATCTAAAGTCAGATGTTGTAGTGTTCCCCTATAACCCCAGCATGCTGATGGCAGGATAAGGCGGGGACACAGGAGAGTCTCTGTAAGTTCAGCTCAGCCTAGCTAACACTAAGAGACCCTACTTCAAAAGAGATCGACGGAGGACAGACAGCTGAGGTTTTCCTGTGACCTCCAGACATGCACTGTGCTATGCATATGTCCACACTCACACTTGGAGACATGTACACATATACAGCTCTCTCTCTCTCTCTCTCTCTCTCTCTCTCTCCCCCCCCCCCTTTCTTTCCCTCTCTCACTGGCAGAACAAGCAGCCATGGGGAACAATAGACTTGGGGCAGGAGCTCTGCTCTGGGAATAAGATAAGGACAGAATCAAAGAATGTTCTTTATTCCAGTGCTCACGGGTCTGCCCAGTGGGGATGCCAGGATTTCTGTGGTGACTGGATGCTGCGAATCTCTTACCTTTAGAGATAAGCTGTGTGCGTATCCTGTTCAATTTCACCCATTTCACCAGAGTGTAACATGTAGGGGATGGTCATTTGCTTTTTAAATTTACTTCTGGTCCAGAGAACTCTGTTAGTTACTTTTCTCATTTCTGGGGCAGAACACCTGAACTAAGCAACTTAGGGATGGATTTGTTTTGGTTCATGGCTCGAGGGTCCGGTCCTGGTGGGGGAAAGGCGTGGCGGGAGGAGCGGGGGACAGCTGGTTGTGCTGCACCTGCAGCCAGTCGGGAAGCAGGCCGATGACTGGTGCTCGGTTCGCTTTCTTAGTCCCCATTTCCATTCAGTCTGGGAAGCCAAGCCCAGGCATGGATGTCGGTGATCCTAGACAAGTCCACTTGAAGATGAAGACTGCTGTCCCTCGGACTCATGGATAGACGGAGGTGGGAAGGGAGGAATGAGGCTGTGAGGTCTCAGCATCGGTCTTGATGCATGACTAAATGAGACTTGGTGCTTTTCTACGTGGAGGACAGACAGTGTGGACACTGGGGTAAAAACCATGAGCTGAACATTTGGTGACCAGCAGGTGGCGGTCATCGGTGCAGCTCACTAAGCATTCTTGTTTTTTTTTCTTGTGGTTAGGATGGGGGTGAACCTTCTTGTGTACCTGGTAGAAGGGGCCCCTACCGCTTGCTTTGGTGTGGTGCATGCTACTGTGGGGGGAAGCTTGGAATAGGCAGCGCCTGACAAGTCATGCTTGCAATTTCCCTTCTCCACAGTGACCAGTCAAGTCAGCTCCATTGGCCTTTGGCTCCAGAGTGAGAAAGGGCACAGACATAAGTCCACAGTGACCCATGCTAGCTGTGCAGCAGGAGTAGCAAATACAAAAATATTGCAGTTTTAATTCATTGTGATTATAAAACATATTTTAAGATCACAGCCGGACCTAGACTTTTACCATGACTTGAGCTGTAGTGACCATAATTCTATGCAGAGCATGGCATTGGTGTGGAGGTCTGAAAAATCACACCCTGTGTGTCAGAGTGCATCGTACTGTGCAAGGGGAGTGGCATTCCGGAGGAAAGAGGGTCACATGGGACACTTTAGTGTTATCCTGTGCATGAATGGGAGGGTAGTGAGGGGGCGAAAAGACCCGATCAGTGTGCAGAGGTGGACGCAGCCTGGAGCAGTGATGTGCCACGAGGTGGCAGGAGATGCCCAAGGGGACCCAATGGTGGCTGTAGTTATGGAACGCAGGATAAGGTATGATGTGGAGGGCTATCTGATGCTACTTGCTGGTCGCTTGGAGATGACGGTGGGCACAGGGAGGAATCCAAGGTAGCTCTGAGGTTTGCTAAGGGTTGTTTCAGGCTCTG